ATCCTTTGGTTATCCTTTGGTTATTTGATGATGCACGGAGGGGATTTTAATCATTGCAATAAAATGAAATACGATAGGATGAATGTGAAGCTGAAGTGGGACAGATGCAAATAATGGTGTATGCAAAACCTTGGAACAACAGGGCTCTGAGATAGAGATTGAGACATGGTTTGAATGGGGAGAAGGGGGGAAATAACGTTAAGATGCTTGGTTCCCCTGGCATACCACTATATAGTAGACACTGGAGAGGGAGACAAAGGAATAGTCAGAAATATCACCATAGAAAGCTTTTAAGTCCATCTTCTGCCTATAACTGATTGGAATACCTAAAATGGGGATACAACATGCTCAGTGTAGGAGGCTTCCTATGGAGCCTCTGCATTACACAAGACCATGAGTGGAATCTTGAACAGCATCCAGAATCTTCTGAGGGAAAACTTCCACTTGAAAGGACAAGCAGACCAGCTGGAGTGGCCAGAAGAACAGAAGATACTTCCTGAAAGAAAGACTGACAGGAAAAATACAAAACAATATAGGCAGGCTGACTGATTACTATAAGAACAAACAAGTGGCCAGGGCAAACCCCCTTCTAAAACTAAGGCTCAAAGGGAATGAATGCATGCTCTGATTGGTGACCACATTCATCACCGATAAGGGGAAGTGAGGGAAAAACAGCAATGAAGCAGCGAGCTAAGCCCTACAACGCTCAATAGACTCCTGTGAACCTGGATGGAGACCTGGTTGACTAGCAGTGTGCCAAGTCCAGGGGACACTTGGACCCAGAGTCAGCGACATAGCCACAGAGAACTAGAGTGGAGAGTGAAGTGTCCAGCTAATAAGAAGAGAGGGCATATGCATAAGTACATCCACAATTGTAGATAATACCCACTTGACCTGGCTTCAATGGCTGGATGATCAGAGCTCAAACAGCAGAAGACAGAAGAGGGAAACAAGAATAATCTGATAAAATTTGATGAACTTGACATACACCTATGGAAGCAGCAGCTCAAAAGAGGGAACAAATGTTCACAGCAATGTTCATTCCCACCTCCTCTGCACACAGAGATGACAGGGATGGGCAACTCGGACATTGGCTACCCAGAATGGGGGGCTACAGATGCAAGAAGTGACTGGCTTACAAGCTTTCAAGAGGGAACCTAGATCCAGAGGTCATGGAGCAAGGTAGAGTCTCCACTGAGTAGTATCCATTCTGCCTAGTCAGGGCTGATGAAAGGAGATGCGGATAGGTCTCTTGTGATACAATAGCGAATAATTGTTATCAGGAATGATTGCAAGGGCTGGAAATGTAAAGGTAGACTTTTGGGGGCAAAAGGAGGGGAGTGATTAACCTTGCAGACTAGGAGCGGAGGTCCTTGGGACCATCAAAGGAGAAGAGTGGAAAACAGTACCCTACCCAGAGAAGCAGCGATGCCAGGGATGGAGGCAGAGATGATGACATGGGGAGATGGAGTGGCTAGAGACTTTGGACCCGGAAAGGGAGAGGGGTGGTATGCGGATGACAGGGGGGCAGGCTTGGCGGGTATACCCTTTGGTTGATGGATGATGCATGGAAGGGATTGTAACCATGGCAAGGAAACAATATACGACAGGATCAATGTAAAGCTAATGTCCTCCCATGTAAACTACCATATAATTCACAATAAAGCATTAAAAATATAAATAAATAAAGAGCATTCTGGCTTCATACAACTCATGGTACTTTCAATATTCCACTCCAACACCATAATTCAAATGCATCGACTCTTCTAAGGTTTTCCTTATTCATTGTCCAACTTTCACACACATATGCTCTGGTAGCGTAGTGGTTACGAATCGGGCTGCGAACCTTAAGGTCAGTGGTTCGAAACTACCAGCCGCTCCGCGGGAGAAAGATGAGGCTTTCTACTCCCGTAAGGATTTACACCCTCGGAAACCCTGTACAGGGTCGCTATGGGTCGGCTCCGACTCGAAGGCACTTAACAACAACAACAATGCTCTTGTTGTAATTAAATGTCATCGAATTGATTCCAACTCATAGTGACACTGTATGAGGTTTCTGAGGCTTTAAAACTTCATGAGAACAGAAAGTCTCATCTTTCTCCAGTGGTGCAGCTCGTGGGCTCAAATTATAAACCCTGTGGTTTGCAGTCTAATATTTATCTTATGGAGCCATCACACTCCACATGCACATGAGGTCATGGAAAATACCATGGATTGGGTCAGGAGGACCTTAGTCCTCAAACTGACATCTTTGTTCTTGAACACTAAAGAGGTTTGCAACTGATTTGCCTAATGCTAAACTTCATTTGATTTCTTGACTACCACTTCCATGAGCACTGATTGTGGATCCAAGTAAAGTGAAGTCTTTGACTGCTTCAATCCATTTATCATAATGTTATTAATGGGTCCATTTGTGAGGATTTTTTGTATTTCTTTCCATTGAGGTGCAATCCATACTGACGGTTGTAGTCTTTGATCTTCATCTTTAAGTATTTCAAGACATCATTGATCTGCTTCATTAACGAACTGTAATAAGCAAGGTTGTGTCATCTATATATTATAGGTTGCTAATAAGTCTTGTTCCATTCCTGATGCCATGTTTTTCATATAATCCAGTTTCTCAAATTATTTGCTTAGCATACAGACTGAAAAAGGTGAAAGACTAAAACCCTGACACACACCTTTCCTGACATCAAACCATTCAACAATATCCACTTATTTTGTTTTAACAAACAAGTCTATGTACAGGTTCCTCATGAGCACAAGTAAGTGTTCTGGACTATCCATTCTTTGCACTGTTATCCATAGTTTGTTATGATCCTCTCAGTTGAATGTCTTCGAATAGTTAATAAACCACAAGCAAACAACTTTCTAGTATTGTCTGCTTTTGGCTAAGATATATCTGATGTCAGCAATGATATCCCTCATTCCAAGTCTTTGTCTGAATCTAGCTTGCACTTCTGGCAGCCCCCTGTACATGTACTGCAACAATCAGCTTTGGATTATCTTCAGTAAAAATTTTTTTGCATGTGATATTAATGAGATTGCTCAATGATTTTTGCATTCCATTTGATTACCTTTCTTTGGAATGGGCACAAATATGAATCTCTTACAATCAGTTGGTCAGATAGTTGTCTTCCAAATTTACTGGCATACAGAAGTGATTGCTTCCAGTGTTGAATCAATTTGTTGAAAAACTTCAATTCGTATTCTGTTAATTACTAGAACCTTGCTTTTCTATGTGTATTATTTTGTTGTTGTTGAATGCTGTGGAGTCAGTTCCGATTCATAGTGACCCTGTATAGGGTTTCCGAGGAAAGGCTGGTTAAGTTTAAACCAAAGACCTTGTGGTTCAAATCGAATGTGTGGTCCAGTGCATTAACCCAGAATGCCACACAAAGATTCCTGAGTATTATTAGTGGGTCAGATTATATTGGAGGCAGAAAATGTAAAAAATCCATC